ATTCTCTTATATAGGCCCTTGGAGTTGTTGAACTTCCCACATTTTTAGGTGGAAATGAGTTGAGATACACCTAACCACTTAAATTTGACTTAGACTCACGRTTATAACTTGACTCAAACACATAGGAAATGTTCTTCTTGCCCTTCATTTATCAAAATGCACGTTTTGCCAAAGTTGATGTCCAAAATTGCACCAARCGCAATTCTAGCGCAATTCTKGCAAAACAKAAAATTGTTATTTTCTTCWGACTTTGACCGCATTTTTCTTATATTTTTCCTAAAGTACCATAGTTTGACTTTTATGCAGAAATGTTCTATGCATGATCTACTTTAAGAATATGTAATCTTTTTTGCAAATAATCATGGGAAAGATGTCAAAATCGTGCTCAAGCAGGCCTACCGACACATATTTATACAGTAAAAAGTCAACCCTAACACCACTACCCGAGTACCTCTCGAGATTTTCCAGTAAGCACGATCCTTTTAAAGGTTGAAGATCGTGAACCCAATCCTTTTACGGGATCAAGACCAAACCTTCAAAACCACTCTTTTTACAGGATCTATAACTCAACCCCAACCCAACCGTGAACACCACTAGAGAGAACAACCATGAATTAGCGATGATTTGAAAGTAATAAAAATTGTTGTGTTTAAGTTTGGGGGGAGGTTAAATATGAGAGGAAATTATTTTTAAAATGGTTTGAAACTAAAATCAAATTGGGTCATTAGATCTTAATTATTGAAGATGGAGAAGATGGAGAGAGGAGATTAGAGGAGATTGAATTTAAAAAATGTAATGATTATATTATAATATAATATAATATAATATAAATATATATACACACGTAACCTCACCAACGGCTACTTCAAAATTTCTTTTTTTTTCTACAAGTTAACTTCTTTTTTTTTTTAAATTCTTTTTCTTTTTCTTTTCTTTTCGTTTTCATTTACTCTCTTCGTGTTTTTCTTCTCTTTTTCTTACTTTATTGTTTTAGTACTTTAGCTCACCATGTGTCAGTCTATGATTTGCCTACGTCATCCTCTCATAAATTTTTTTTTCAACTTGTTTCGATCATAACTTTTTCATTTAAACTCTAATTTGAGCCATTCAAATTGCATTTAATTTCTCTTGTATGCTCTACGTTATGGACACTTTGAAACAATAAAATCATCAGTATATAAAGTTTGTTATCATCAAAACATATGATATGATTGAAACTCGGAAAGTCAACAGTTACATAAGAAAAAAAAACATGGGAAGAGTTGGAAAGATTTATATATGTAAACATAAAGAAGGTGTGAGTTTTAAAAATCTGAGCATTTTCAATCAGACTATGCTTGCAAAACAATATTGGACATCGATTAAGAATCTTGATAGTTTATTTGCGTGTTATGAGGGGTAAATATGTTATCCAYTGTAATTTTATGTGAGCTCAAATAGATAAAAAAAATCTTCCTTTGTATGGCGGGACATTTTAGTTTTTTCGAACCTCATTTATGTTAAGTTGTGTGTTTTTTTACTAAAAAAAAATGAAATGAATTTATAACCTGAATTAGTAAATTTATCAAAAATTTTCCACGCTATGGTACTTGCTATTTTACATCAAAAATGGTCTAACACATCTTCTTCTACATGTAGTTTATAAAACATGTAAGTTATATAACAAGAAAAAAGAAATCACTCTTAATAGAACAAGAAAAAAAAATCATTCTTAATATATGCCAACATGAGCTTAGCTCAACAAAAAAAAAAATATATATATATATATATATACTAAAATTAAAATTAAAATTTTGGGAAAAAAGTTAAAATTCTTGCATTTTGAAATGCAATGACGAACTAGGGACATATTTCTGGATTTCGTGAAGCAATATATATTGTAATCGAAGAACCAAAAAACAAAATTTTTATAGGTATTATGTTACAATGAATTTTTCCATATTTTAATTTTTCATCGTGATTCAACAATATGAAATAATTTACAAAAAAAAAAGAATTTGAACGAAAAACCTGGAACTTTGAAGCCACTAGGTTGAGTTGAGGAAATAAGAAGCTTTGGTTTCTGCTATAGCAATTGATTAATATCGTGAGACCACAAAGAATATCAAGATGAAAATTTGAGATTTGAGAGGGATTGAGAGTGAGAGATGGGGAGTACCAAGAGAGAAAGGGSGAGAGTTCAACTTAAAATTAATGTAACATAAGTAATATATTTATGAAGTGTTTTASAGAAGTTGAAAAGTTTTAGTAGTGAAAAAGATTTATAAAAACATAAAGAAATACGGAAGGTATCCCTCTCTCGCCAACGTAAACTTGGGAGAATTTTGAGGAGTTGAGTTGAGATTTTTAAGAAAATTTGAAAGGAATATCAATAAATATATTAAGGTTAACAAATTTAAAATGGAAGCCAATCAAAACTTACGGAAATTTATGAGCCTATTAATGGTAGATTTTTTTTAGTAGAGTGTATTTTCAATATTATTAAAAAAAATTATGAAAAGTAATAAGTATATTATTTTATATTTAAAATTTAATTTATAATTAAAAACTAAATTAAATGAATACCAATATTATATATTATATGAAATATATGACGCCTTCTTAAACGGGAGCCTTACCCGATCGCCTCGCTCGCCTATGACTTAAGCTGGCCCTGATCATGAAGATGGTTTGAGAAACTCAAGAAGAAAGAACATGAAAATAAAAAACATTATCATGGGACGACACCTATCTAGACATGAGATCTAATATCAAATGAAAAGAAAGAAAGAAAAAACCAGTTTTGATCTTTATGTTTCAGGCTACTATCTATTTSGTCAGAAAATTTTAGTCCTTCAAATTTGAAAAAGAGAGATCCGTGACCTTATTTAACCATAGTTGACTAATAATAAGATGATCARGTAATTAAATTAGTAACTATATTTTGTTGATTTGATAAAATATGTAAATTTAATAATTTATTTTCCATGGGATTTGTTTTTCTTTTCAAATCATCTCCATTCATTCACCTTCTTCTTCATTCCCTCTTCGAGACTCACTACCGGCTACTTATTTCGTCCTCATGGCCATCAATGTCACCACCGCATCCTATAATGAGTTTTGCTGGCTACTATAAAGGAATGAATGAATTCGAATTTTGGAACAAGGAAAGGAGAGAAATGTTTTGACGATTAGGTTAGAGAAATGGTGAAACATAAATATTTAGGTGAAAAATACTTGCAAATGTGGTMATTGTCAACATTGAAGATTTTATTTTTATTTTTACTTTTAGAAAAGTTAATATTGTTAATCTCTCAGTCTTAATT